TATATCTCCTTATCTGAGTCAGCTGAGCCGTATCTGGCCGTGCAACACTCACAGTGTCACATACTGGATGCAGAAGGATTATTTGAAGCAACACATTAAGTTGAAGGAAACACTCGAGTCAAATGTAATGAAAGTCAGATGGTGTCTTAGACGGGGCAGTGATATCATAAACCTGTTAATGTACGCATTCAAACACTTGTTCTGTTACCAGCTGTATTCTCCTTGCAGGTGCAGCTATGTGGCTTTGATCCTGGATAAAGTGTTTAAGTCATGGATGTTTAAAGTTTAGCTTCTTCATATGTCTAATATTATAGTTGACTTTTCATTCAGGAAGTATGACGCTGCGCTGTCAGTACGCTTGTCCATGTTTGTGATTGGTCGAATGCTCCAGATACCACCCCTTTTATGTGATTGGCACCTAACTAGATAGGGCACGGCTGGCTTGAGCGAACGAGTTGATAGCCAGCATTGTAGGACAGTTTAGCGAGAGCGGCTTTGTTTTGGATTAAGTCAACCGGATAACTCAAAACATATCCAGGATAGGTTGAACTCGATTCGTAGTATACCCCCCTGCTGCGGGGCAGGTTAGCCGCACAGCATAAGTTACCATGGAGATCTAGCCTGCTAAAAAGAGAACCAGCGTCGTAGGACCGGAAACCCAGAGTTTTCCCTGAAGTTAACCGGCTAAGCGAAAATCCTGCTTCGTAGTACAGGCCTCTGATAAGCCAACATCCCCCACCTTTCATCACTTACAGCACCCATCGTACAGGGCAAATGAAAAAGAACAAAATGGTGCTCTAGGAGGAGATTCAGGTGATAAGGTGAAAGGGGTTACCTTGGTTGGCGATTGGCTAATGGTTACACAACCCAAAAAAACATTGACATCACAACGTGGCCAAAACCTGATCAGCTCATTTTCAGACAGGTTTTTATATAAATGGATCAGGACAAAAAGAGAGAGAATCTTTTTCCCTGAAACTTTCAGAACCTCTCAACACAGAGGTGACACATATTTATGTAGACAACATTTTTTCTTTACAATAGGTGACCTAAATGCTAACCGCGCTGAGTGACTCTCTAACATCAGGTTTTCCTCACTCCTCTCCTCTTTAAATCAAACAAACAAGTCGAGTTGCTCAACGTGAGGCGTTCACCGACGTCACTCTGCAGGAAAATCATACTGAACTCAACAGTCTGCAGCTTAACCTTTAAAAAAGCATTGATAGGCTTCAATCAGTGAATAACAGTGGAGATGCATTACCTTTTGTTAGCATGTTTAACTTAATCACCTTTGTATGTGTTACTATATGAAAACTGCTGAGAATTGTAATACGAACAAACTATTTATATTTTGTTTCCTGTTGTCATGCAGCCTCACAGAGCAGCAGGACTCTGCTCTAGGTTAGAATAGGAAGCAGAGTCATAAACCTTGATCATACATACATATCTACTGTATCAGAAGTACATATCTACTGTATCAGAAGTACATATCTACTGTAACACACACACTGCTGATATACTTCTTTGGTTATTGCACAAATCTGGCATTGTGAAATCTCTTGTCCAGCTGAAGCAAGTAATGGTATTCGCGGGGTTTAAATTTGATTTTGTATAAAGATTATTACGTTTTTTAAATTATTCAGACCAAAGAGAGGTTTACTCACAACACTGGTGCAAAACAGCAACACTGAATCAGCCTCAATTACAACTGTTCTGCTGTAAAGTGTTCCCTGAATGCAACATTAAAACCCTGATGTGCAGACAAGTTTTTTCAGATTTAGAAACTGTAATTGCATTTATAACAGGGATCTTAGTATTAGTAAGTAAGATACTCTTTCTAAAGCTACTTACAAGTAAACAAAAATTAACAGCACGCTAAAATGAAAGCAAAATGGTCTATCTGATCAAATAAACACAGAAATGGAAGCTGAAAAACATCAAATTTGAATGCTTTTTGGTGCTTTTAAAAAGGCCAATTACATCAAAATGCAGAAATATAACCAAAAAAAAATTGTATTTTTTTGGATATAAATGAAGATATGAGGTCCAAGGACTCAGAATTTCTTTGCTTTGTAATTGTTATTGTTTATTTCTTATAAACAGCTTTGTAAAGTCTCAAATGAGTCACTTGTCTCTTCTTCAAGAGGGTTTTCAGACGGTGGCGTCATCTCGAGAAATCACATTAGAGTTAATCCTCCACTTGAGTTGTCTGCTGTTGCATCCAAACCGATCCAAACCAACACTAACAGTTCTCTAAAAGCAGATAACTTATATTAAAAATTAACTGAAGGTCCCAGGAAGCTGCAGAGTCTTAATATAGAGCCCACCATATGAATTAGACCTGATATTAAAAATGTAGCAGCAGCAGCAGGAGGTGAATCTATAATTAATGTGTTCACAGTTAAAGAACAGAGAACAGTGAGCTGCAGACTGTAAATGTAGTAATGGTGTTTCAACATGAGAGATCTGATTTACTGAAAAACTGAAAATATGGGATTATAAAGGATTATTTTAGGTATAATATTGCATAATTAAACTATAATAAGTCAATTAAAACCACTTTTTTTCCCCACAGCAGATTACAATGCTCAGAAATGTCACAAAACTAATTTGAAAAGACATGAGTTCACCAATATAACCCATTTTCGTGTTTCTAGACACGTATGACGCCATATTTTTTAAATATTACGGAAGTTTTAATAGAAGTAGCCAGAAGGTGAATCTATAACTAATGTGTTTACAGTTAAAGAATAGAGAACAATGAGCTGCATATTGTAAATATTGGTCTTTGAACATGAGAGTTTACAGGCTGCTGTTTAAGCTTATTTACTGAAAATATGGGACTATATAAGATTATTTTAGGAATAATATGGTATAATTAAGTTATATTAAGTCAATTAAATGCTGGGAAATGTTTCAAACCTAATTTGAAAAGACATGAGTTCACCAATATAAACCATTTTAGTGTTTCTAGACACGTATGACACCATAATTGGAAATATTACGTCAGTTTTAATAGAATATAGAATTATATTATCTAGCCAGGTAGTTATTATAACAGTGTTATAGAGGACTGACCGTGTGGATGAAGGTGCAGCCCAGCAGCAGCAGAGCCAGAGTACAGCTCAGATTTGCCTCCATGGTCACCTCTCCTCCGGCTCACCTGAGGACATCCTGAGCAGGAAGCACGTGTGCACTGCCGGGAAAATGCCACCACACTGAGTGATACCTGGGAGGAAGTTTGGTAGTAAATATCGCCGACCAATCAGTTTGTGGGCACGTTGGTCTGTCAGCAAATGAGACCTACTCGAACAAACATCCCCCAAAACCTGAATTTCCACCTGAAATACTACAAACTCAAGTGTTTCCCTGTTCTCCGGAGGGCGGAGTGACACTGAGGCGGTGGTCCGGCTCACTCCACTTACAAACAAGTAGTGAGCGTCCCCGCCACACGCTGTCTCTGAGGAGGACACCCCGGACTGATGCGCGCTCCCGCTAGGCTTCCTGAATTAGTGTGTTTGTTAATATTGAATAGCAACAGGGACACCGTGTGGCTGTACCGGGTAAAACACTATATGAGGTTACAGTGTTTAAAGAGCAGTTTCCAAACTCTGGTACAAGTCCCTCATAGGGTCGTAGTTAGGCCCAAGAGCTCCTAAAATAACAAACAACCTTGATGCTTTCAAGAAGTCTATGAATCAAAAATAAAATCCTCATTAAAACTTCCTTGAATACAATTTAGATCATAAATATTAAAGCCACACCAGCCCTTTTTTTCTTTGTATTTCTTTTGGGATTTATCATTATTTTAAATGGATACATATTGTATTAATTATAATATGTTTGTATATAAGAACACGACTTTGTCCCGATGCCATTAGTATTGCAGTATGTAAAATAAATAAACAAGTTGTGAGGTGAACAGCTCTAACTTTATCAGTGGCAGATGAAAGGACGGAGGATAAAAACTGAATCCAGCGTCTGACCCCACAGATCATGCAGTCTTTTATGACCTTAAACGCAACATAAATCAGTCAGGAATGCTTTTACCGAGATAGTCTGAAAATTAGAAGCAGAAAAACCAAATAAAGCAGAAAAGGGAAAGCTGGTTTGTATTTACACCGGACCGTTAATCATGCAGTGTTTGAATGTTTTACTGCGCTCGTTTCTGTCTGTTCATCCATTTGTTGCTCTTTTATGAGCCGTCCCTGCATTTCTGTAAATATTGTTTGCATGTGTAAACGTTTTTGTTTATAGATATTAAAAGTAGGGAGTGAGAGCGCTGGAGATGGAGCCAATAAAACCAGATGGGAAAACTGAGAGAAACATGAGAGAGGCTGGCCTAATGTAAATACTGTGAATCCTAAATCAAACAATGAAATGTTTTAAATTTTTTGTGCATTTTTTAAAGTTATTTTGACCTTCTTAATTTGTGCCAATTAAATAAAAAACAATTGTCGGCATAAGTCTGAAGCATTAATAAAAATCAGGCACATCATAATAAAGTACAAATAAAATAATAATAATAACAACCAGTCTGAGTTTTAGCCAATCAAAGCACTTTATTGCACTGTATAGTGTGACTGTGAGCCAATAGCAGGCTCTTATAAAAGTGTCATTTAATCTTTTTATCATGTGTACAAAACAAGTCACACACACTTGTACCGTACAAAATCAACACTATTTACATACAATATACATACACACTGAACACACACACACCATGCAGTCTCTCTCCCATCAAGCCCTTCAGGTTTCTGATGGGATTTTCCTTCTTATCTGACATCCTCCACCACACACACACATTCACTCACACACACATAGGGACTGAAACATGACCGCTACGCTGCTACCAACAAACCCAAACTGCTCTGTTAGCCAAACAAGCGCTAAGCAACTCCTGATATGCATAAAGTTTCTCCTTTCTTCTGATAAAAAGACAAAAAACATGAGCGATGAGGCGATGTGTGTATCCACAGAGAAGTAAACAAAAGCTTATGAATTATTTCTCAATACATTTCTCTATAAAACCCACAGCGTCACTGACAGTTCCCATTAGGCGTGGATTACTACACCTGGTGCGGATAAACTCTTCCCATAGGCCCTTTAAATAACTACAATATTCCCACTTTAGTATTCACACAGTGCATTTCGCTTGACGAGAAACTTTGGACTACATTTCTCAGGTTTACTGCGAGCAATATGATGAAAAACGTAGATTATTGTGCATATGTTTGCAGAGTGCTTTAAATCATCTTTCTATTGATACACATTGCACGTATATTGTTCTTAAATTGTTTTTCTGCATGGTCAAAACATTTCACACGAGACAAAAGCTGGTAATGTCTATCGAGCTTGAATCAATGCATTTATTGTGAGACTTTCCAATCTGAGAAAACGTAGTTATTCGTTTTTTGGATGTTTTCAGTTTGTGTCTCATTTCCATATTTTCTCTTTCCTATTTCTTCTTCTGAGGATAAAATCTGTCGCGTAAATCACATTAAAAGTATGTAAAATGTCCCTGTCACACATTGACATGATGAACACACACTCAGACAGAGACACACACTCTGCACACACACGCACACACACACAGGGTGCAGGTGGAGAGAGCTGCATATAGGGGCTACTATACCTCTGTGTTTTAGGTACCTCTCCATATAGATTATTATGTCTATGTACAATATTTATATTTTTACAATTATCTGGCTAACCCTGTTCTAATTGAAAACATTTTTTTTTTCCCGATTCGATCAGTCAAACATGATACAGTCTTTTATATTTGTATCTCTCTATTTGTACCTCCTAAGACCTCCTAAAAACGGTGTGAGGACCGACACAGTGTTCCCCTAAGGCTTTCTACAGTGACGAGCTCCCGGTAACGGCCACGAGATTGAACGGGGTGTAAAAATGACCAATCAATCAACCATTCAAGCAATCAGCCAATCAACCGGCACAACACGACTTTAAAGAAAAAACGACGACGTAACACCACACCATATGCAGGTTCAAAAATACAGTACATCTTGATTCTGGGAAATAAATGAACAACAACGGCGATATGCACGGCATACACACGCATGCTCGCTCACTCCTGAACACACACACACTCTCACACACACACACTCAGGCTACATGTTGTAGGCCACGTAGATGGGGTCCAGCTGGTCTTGTAGGAAGCCGTCGCGGAGGTGCATGCGCTGCTTCTCGCCGCGGGAGTTGATGGGGATGACGCCGATGTCCGTCACCACGACGACGCCCACGATCAGGTAGTGCTCCTCAAGCACCGCCTTGGTCACCATGGGAACCAGGTCCAGCGCCTCCTGCTCCGAGCCCTCCAGCTCCACCACCACCACCAGCAGGTTGGTCCAGGGGAACACAGCGCTGAGGAAACAGAGACATCGTTGATTTGATCATGAATATAACATATTCACTTCAAATATCTGGCCTTCTGGATGCTTAATATTCCACTTCCTGTCTCTTTCTGTCTCTGTTAAACCTACCACTCCATGATGCTCTTGTGTGCGCGGATGACGGAGGTCTCGATGTCGATGGGATGGTACCTCATCCCCCGCAGCTCCATGGCCTCCTCCAGAGCGCCCACCACGAACAGAGCGTCGTGCCTCTCTGTTGGGAGGAAGAAGGAGACATGTTGGTGTCGGAGGCAGAGAGAATGAGTGGAGGAGACGTAGGAGGCGGAGAGGAGACTAACCCCCGTTGGCGTCGGTGAGCTCGGTGCGGCGCAGGAAGCCCAGGTACCCCGTCCTGGCCCACGTCGTCTGCGTGTCTCCGAAGCTCAGCCTGGAGTTAAAGTGATCCGATTGGAGGACCTCCTCTCCGTAACCGCTGTAGTAACCGCTGCCGTTATGAGCGCTGTGCACCCAGATCTGCAGGGACAGAGAGAACAGGTACGGTTTCTAACTGCAATATTATACACTCCATCTCTACGTACGCTTTGATGAATATTCGGGATTGTGGGAAACGGTATTTCGATCTCTCTGTCTGTACACACAAACTGGAAGATTGACAATAAAGTTGATTTGACTTTGAAAAATAAAGCAGGTAATAGCTACATATTTAAGAGGGAAGAAAGATAAATAAATACTGAGGCAACCATTTGGGAATTTGGGAAAATATACAAATACAAAGAGAAAATTCAGAAGGAAAGACAAAGAAAATAAATATAAAGAAAGGGAAATAAAAAACAAAGTCAATTGAGACGAGAAAATAAAACGATAACAGAGTAAAGTGCAAGAGAAAAAGGAAATAAAGGTAAACAAAAGACAGAGGAAATAAATGAGTTGAAAGAGAGGGAAGGACACAGAAGAAGGGAAGGAGAGAAGGACACAGAAGAAGGGAAGGAGAAAAAGACAAAGAATAAGTGAAGGAGAGAAGGACACAGAAGAAGTGAAGGAGAGAAGGACACAGAAGAAGGGAAGGAGAGAAGGACACAGAAGGGAAGGAGAAAAGGACACAGAATAAGTGAAGGAGAGAAGGACACAGAAGAAGTGAAGGAGGAAAGGACACAGAAGAAGGGAAGAAGAAGAGGACACAGAAGATGGGAAGGAGAGAAGGACACAGAAGATGGGAAGGAGAGAAGGACACAGAAGAAGGGAAGAAGAAAAGGACACAGACGAAGGGAAGTAGAGAACGACACAGAAGAAGTGAAGGAGAAAAGGACACAGACAAAGTGAAGGAGAGAAGGATACAGAAG